ACAAACCAGGACTAGCATCTCTAAGACAATTTGCCCCAAAATGCTAGCTTTTGGCAAGTAGGCCTTTCAGAAGTAATGTTCTTTCAAATTACCCCGACGAATTCCATAATTTCAAAAATTTAATTTTCATGACATCATCACTTTAATTAGCCTCTCTCCATGGGGGAGAAATGAATGCGTGACGAACGAACCCCAAAGAACGTCTGCGGGGAGGCTACACTTTAATAGAACTCTATTGAGACCCTGATTAATGTCCTGCTGCAAGTTAAGGTTATACACAGCAGTCAGAAAACTCACACATTCCTGCAAAAATCCTACACTCCTGCATTAGCCTTGAATAATAATTATTATTAGAATTTACAAAATCAGTGGATAGCAATTTTTGTGCATTTTGATTGGTCCCTGTAACTTACAATATCACTGGCTATTCACTGTTTTGGAATGCCAGGGAGTCAACATGGCATCCCATTTTGCAGCATTTTTAGACTCAAGACGAAACTGGTATGTAGAAAATATTACTAAATTTGTAACAAAATAAAGGAAAAAACATGCCGCAATTCCCAGAAGCCCTGCCTATATTATTCAGGAGCCCATAACCTGGAGCATGCAACTCCCATACATACTAGGCCTATGTCATGACGTTTTTACGAACCGGTTTATTTTTAGACACATTTTAATCTCCGCCATGTCCATGAACACATTCGAAGTATAAAGAGCTGTTCACACTTGGTGCTCAGGAACCAGAGCCTGTGTACCAATTTGCCCTGTCAGACACCATTTTGAAACATGCGCTTAGCAGCGAGAATAAAGCAGTGGACTGCTTGGAACTTACAAAAATTGTGTGCACACTGGGACCCGGTGCCCACTTCTGTGCACCTGCACCATGCACCAAGTGTGAACGCTGCATGACAGCTTAAGATATCAAAAAGGAAAACCTAATGTCATTAAAAGGCAAAAATTATCATTTTTTAGGTCTGTAGGTTTTGATGATTGGTTTGTGGGACTTTAAAGATATTTTAAAGAAAGATATTTTAAAGATATTTTAAAGAATCTTTATTTTAAACTCATGCCAAAGCCATTCTAAAAATAAACTGGTCCATTAAAACGCCGTGACACGAGTACATGGAAGCTGCTTGCTCCAGATTATGGGCTCCTGCTATATTAAAATGTAAACAAATCCCTAACTAAGAATTGTCTTTTATTCACAAATATTACTTTTGAATCTTTATGGAAATTTCATAAATATTATTTCTATCCCTCTCAGGGACAGTTCATAGCGTGAGGTAATACCTCTGCTGTTTGAGGGATTGTTGTATATTATTTAGTTAATATATCATATAAGTAAGTGGTATTGAAATATGCCACTCATTTTTTTAAATAACAAAATTGTTTGTTTCCTAGACAGATGAGTTTGTTTAAAATTAGGTAACATTACCTACAGCTCTTCAGGTTCAAACATTTCATTGAACCTAACATTTTCCACCAATCAGAGCCTGCCATAATGTGCATAAGTAATGACAAAATCTAAACTTACCTGGTGTGCCAAATTGATGAAAATTGATCACCGGAAACCAATCAAGTCCTCTTAACAGTATTGATTTTATTGACTTTTTATCAGCTTAAACATATGAGCAATTTATGAATTCTTAGCACGGAATTCTAATCACTGTTTCTTGATGAAACAAAATGAAAAAAGGCAGCGAATGTCCAGAGAGTTGGATACCAGTTTCAGTAGAATTTCCGGAGAACCACGAAGAGGTGAAATTTTCTGTTACATATTTAGTCTGTACGTCGAAAAAGTGAAGAAAGTGGCCAGATTACTTGGTTTCAGTTGGAATCCATACTTTCAATAAACCTTGTTCAATGAATCAGTCTGTTCTCGTAGATTATAGGGGGCTATTTAGAGGGCATTGTCCACTATTAAATCATGGATCTCCACCGATCAGACTTTTTGAAGAGAGTTTTCAACACACTTTCAATCAAGTTTTTGTATTTTTGACACATTCAGATGAAAAGCAGCAATTAAACAACAGATCTTTTTTCAGGAAGAGAAATACCTCAAGCGTATCTGAAACAATTACAATTTAGAATTGATATAATCGATGAAAATTGATGAAAATCGATTTAAAATTGATCAAAATCAATGAAAATTGATACTCACAACTCTTTAAACCTTCGATTTTCTTTGATTTCCGAAATCAATAAACTACATGTATCAATAAAATCGATTACATTGATTTTGTCTATTATCGAATTTTACCAATATTTATTGGGCACACCAGGAATCTTAAGAAAGGAAAAAACTCATATGGTGAGATTCCTTAATAAAATCTAAGAAAAAGGTACTAAAATTGAATTTGGTGTTTGCCATGAACATCCGCGTCAAGTGTTGAAGAAAGTGAGA